CAGTTTCCGTGGATAGTGGCTGCGGGTTGGAACCCGTTGCCGAGTGATGTGGGGCAGTGGGCAAAACTTGTGCAAGGAGAAATCATTTCCTCAGGAGAGCCTACCTTCGAAGCGGGGGAGCTGGACTTCTTCATCTGCAGCCGAGTTCTGGCGCCGTTTGTGGAATCGGTTTAGCTTGTTCCTGATGCTCCAGCAAAGTCTCACGCGCCAGTGGCCTTGAAGCTCAGCGGCATAGGAGTGCAGGCCAAGGTTCCTCGGATGCTGGTACCCAGGAAGTTCCCCATCGAGAAGCCACCTCCTGTGCGCAGAGCACCTCCTGAAGCTCGAGAGGATCAGTGGCCGTGGCAGATTGGATCGGAGTACCCATCTGGCCTTCAGCAAGCCTGTCAAGTCTGGTTTCGACATGTTGAAGCCGATCTTCTGGATTTTCACGATATTCAAGGATGGTGTGGGCAATCATGCACTGGCAGATCAGACGGGCTTCGAGTTCAGCATGTGGAGCTTGACCAAGCCTGGAAGAGCGAGCTGCGGCATAACACCGCGGTCGATGGCAGGAAGTGGACATCATTCTACTCGGCTTGCATGAGGCTGCATGCCATAGGTTCTGGGTCCCGAGCCAAGAAATATTCTCATCTTGCGGCGCAGCAGCGGCAAGAGCGCACTGTCTCTCGAATTGGCACCCCGCCGTGGCCCACCGAGGGGCCGCTGGGAAGGTGGCAGCACGCGCCCAGGGGTGCCCTGGTGATGCTGCTCTCTGATGGGGGGGGGATGAGGCTCTCTCCTTCCCCCTGGGGCTGAGGGGTCACCTCTCTCACCTCCAAGCGAAGGCCAGGGCGGCTGGCGCCAAATCCTGGAGGGCTTGGGCCAAGGGGGCCGTCAAGAATCAAGGGGGGAGGGCTGATTACGCCTATGTTCGGGAGCCTCTGCCCGACGCGCAGATTTTTTCGGGGGCCACGGAGCTAGCGCCGCCGTTGCCTGTCCCAGGGCAAATGGCGGTGGACAGGCTTATGGGGCAGTGGGAGCCGCTCTGGACTGCTCCTAAGAGAGATGGTGAATCCCACCCGAGATCCTGGAGTCCTGGGGCCCGTCTCGTGGGGCCCTCGGAGGCTTCCTGTGGTCTGTTTCCGACCAGGGGTTTCTGACTTCTGGGGGTCTGGACCCTTGGGTTGAGTTGCTTAGGGTCACCATCTCGCAGCTGAGCTCTGTGCTGCTTTCCTACTCGGGGGCCTGCGGGCTGGGGTGGGACCGCCCCCACCCGAGGCAGGTTCTTTGGCTGCCAGATTCGTGCAAGCAGGCGTTCCTGGACATCCTTATGAAATGGGAGTCGGGTCCTGAGGATCTCGAGCTCTCGACGCCCCTGATCTTTTTCCTGGGCAAACCCGCGCCAGCTACGGGAGTGAGGCCCATAGCGTTGGCTTCCAGCTGGGGGCGCATTTGGTCTAGGCTCAGGCAGCCTGTGGCCAGGAATTGGGAAGTGTCTCTCAATACGGACTCCTTCTAGGGAGTTTCAGGGCAGACCTGCGACAGAGCAGGGCATGTGCACAATATCATTCAGCGTTTCGCCAGACTCAAGGGCTTCTCGGCAGCTAGCGGGCTTCTAGATTTGTCGAAGTATTACGGGCATATTTCACATGAAGGTCTTTTAAGGGAGGCTCTTGCCACGGGGTTCCCAGTCAGGCTCCTCAAGTGTCTCTGTGCAGGGTGCATATTGCCCAGACGAGCTAGGTGGAAGTCTTTTATCTCGGACCAGGTCCGAGCCAACGGTACGGTGGCGGCAGGCTGCAGTTGTGCCTTAGCGCTGGCCAAGATTCTAGTGCATACAGTGATTGTCACTCTCAAGGCTAAGTATCCCATGGTGAGGTTTCAAAACCTAGTAGACGACTTCCTGCTTCAGGGGGTTGATGGCAGGCAGAATGTGCTAGATCAGTTTCCACAAGCCATGTCTGAACTAGTCGAGCCCCTGCAGCATGGGCAACCCGATGTAAATTGGGATAAGAGAGGCTGCATGGCCAGTTCAGCTGAGCTGGATTCGGAGCTAAACGAGCGTTGGAGCCTAGGCCATGAGCAGAAGCTTCGTAGCTGCAGGTGTTTAGGTACGGACGCCACCGACGGCGCGTCGGGGAGTGTTCAAGAGCAGAACAAACGTTTGGCCAACGCGTCATCGGTTTCAAAGCGCGTTTTTTCGCTCAGGCAGGCTGGAGCTAGCGTCAGCACTATTATGCGGGGGTCTCCTACGGCGACGGCGATGTGGGGGGCGTCGGTCACTGGCATAGCTGACGCTAAGCTCGCCACCTTGAGACTTGCTTCGCTGCGTGCAGAAGGGAGAGTCCCTCCAGGAACCTCTGTTGCGCTCCGTCTGAGGTCGACACAGCGAGGGTCCACCAGGGACCCCTGGATCGTGCATGTCTGTGATGTAGTCAAGCATTGGACGTTGAGTGTCCATTCCTGTATGCCAGGCATTGGTCCGCTTCGGGCTTGTCTTGAGGAAGCGCAGCCGCTCCTCTATAAGGATCGGTCATGGGCTCAGGTAGTAGATGCAGCCCAGGCTGCTGTCCTTTCACTCGCCAGGATTGGGTGCCAGTTGCCAGCTGTAGAAATTCTGAGGCATCCTCGCCTCGGGGACTTCAGGATCTTGGATTTTTCGCTTGGCTTTTTCGTGGATTTGGTTCGGCCCCTGGCCCTCCAGGCGTCTGACGTCAACGCTTTGAAACGTTTGAAGGCGCCCGCGAGGCACGCTTCATCATATATTCTACTATTGCCCTCGGAGCGCTGTTCCTCGACGCGAGGAATGCCCGACACATGTTATGCAAGCAGCCATGTATGTGCGAAGTCTTGGGGAGGAACCTGCTGAGATGATGGCTTGTTGTCTCTTCCCTTCGCCTTCCTTTTGCCTCCCCGTGACGGAAGTCCCTGAAGAGAACCACGTGCGGTCTGTGGGAGTGCTTCCTGGTTGGAGGTTCTCGGGCCGCGTGTTTGTCGACGGTTCGGCTTTCCACAGTCATCTTCAGGGACTGAGTCGGGCAGGTTGGGCAGTGATTCAGGTTAATCGTGCAGGGGAGCTCGTCGGAGCTATGCACGGCGCCGTGCCGTTCCATCAGGCGCCCACGCAGTCCGTGCGCGACGGAGGGGGCCAGGCTTTCTATATGCTCTCTCAGTTTGCAGAATGGTCTGTAGAGGATCCCTTAGTTGTGCACGCGGATTGTGCAGGCACCTTCGGTTGTGTTACAGATTCGAGCGTTGCTTTAGCCAGTTCAAATGCACGTGCGCACGTGTGGAGGACCTGGTGGTCTGATCTAGGTAAGAAGGCTTCTAGTGTCAAGGTAGCTGCTCACAGGAGCTTGAGGGGCGCTGGGTCCGATCAAGACGCGCGGCTCATCAAGGGCAACGCTATGGCCGACAAGTGGGCCAAGGCGGGAGCGAAACTTTGGAATGTGCCTCGAGACCATCTAGACTTTGTCTCGGGGTGTGAAAGGATTGCCTCGGATATTGTGCGCTGGCAGAGTAGATGTCAGGAATTTTTCGGAGAGGTAGAGCAGCAATATTCTGTTGAGCTTTCTGGGACGGGGGACATTGTTTTATATGAAGACCTGCCCCAGGATATAATTCGTGCCTGTCTGGAGGAAGGTAGAGCACCGTTTGGAGACTGGTCCTTGGCCGAGGGGGGTGAGACTGGTCCTTCCTCTGCTCCGAGCCCCCCCTCCTCCCTTGAAGGTGCGGAAGACCCCCATGGTGTCGACGCTGGCCTTGTTGCTGCAACAGGTGGTCCTTGGGTTTTTTGAGGGCATAGTGTTGTCAGGCCAGCGTCGCATCAGATCAAGGCCAGGAACCGTCGCCAATTTTATGTTGTAAGATCTGCGGCGCCTCAGCGCATTCTAACGCTCGGGGGCTGCAGGGAGAGCGCAAGGGAGCGGGCCGTCCAGGGCTCAAGACCCAGAGGTCCAAGCTCCGACGGGGTCTGTTCCCAGGGCACACCCTAGGTAATGCTCGTGTAGGGGCGGCCCATGGGCCGACCCTTCAGATGCGTGCTGTTTGGGGGCTTCTTCTCGAGCCTGCCCCTGCTCCTGCTGCTGCTGGTCCAGACAGCGGTGCTGTAGGTGTTGAAGGGCCGGTCGAGCCCCAGACGTCGGCGGGGAGCGTGATGCCCCGCGCCTCTGGGGAGGCGAAGCAGGCGTGCCGACTGCTACGCCTTCCCTGCCTTGACGCCACCATCGTCGCCAAGTTGCATGGGTTCTCCTCGCCTGATGAGCTTGTTCGGTGGGAGAGGTCCCGTCAGAGAGCTCCTGGGGAGCCTGAATTAATCGACGAGGATTAATTCGTGGCCGTGCGGCCAGGGGCGCCATGTGGCGCCCGCGTAGTCAGTGCCCTCAGTACCCTCCTCGTCCGTAGCCCTTTTGGCTAGAGGTGCTAGTTTCCCTTGGGAACGACGTGGATGCCTCTAGTCCGCGGCCAGTCTCCGTCTCTCCGCCGCATTCGCCCGCGGCGTGGAGTGTAGCACCGCGCGCGCGGCATGGGGCCAGCTCGTCATGACATTGGCGCCCCTCGCAAAGAGAAGAAAGACGAGAAGGACAGAAAGGAGAAGAAGGAGAAGCGACGGGATCGTTCCGGATCTCGCTCCTCGCGTAGGTCGCGCCGTTCGACTGCCTCGGATGTGGTTGCTTCTACCCCTCCTATTGGTCGGGGGCGTGGTGGCGCTGCTGGAAAAGGGCGTCCGTTCGGCGAGCGAGGTGCAGCTCGTGGGGCCAGTGCGTCTGCAGCTGGCGGCACCAATGGCAATGGCCCCGCCGCCATGGCCTCCGCCGCAGGAGGTTTGGAGGAGGCCGCTGCCTTCCCGTCGCAGGAGCGTGCGCATGGTGGAGAAGCCCCAAGGGCACAGCTTCCCCTCCTCCTCCCACCTCCTCCTCCTCCTCCATCTCCTCCTTTTCCTCCTCCTCCTCCTCCTCCTCCTCCCTCCTCCTCCTTCCTCCTCCTCCTCCTCCACTTCCCCCTCCTCCTCCCTCCTCCTCCCCCCCCTCAGGTCGCCTACGGCCCCGAGGGAAACCCCCGACCCCTCCCGCCCCAGACCCGTGGGCAGCAGGAGCGATGGAGGCGCAGATGGCGGACGTCAAGGCGCAGGCCCTCGAGGAGTTCTCTGCAATGGCGATCGAGACGCTCCCCCAAGAGCCCCCTGCTGCACTGGGCAAGGCGGCAGGGCCACTGTTCGGGAAGCTGGAGAAGAAGTGGAAGGACTCCGTCAAGCGCCTCCAGGGTGCAAGGATCTCTGGGCTCGAAGGACATACTCAGCCGCTTGAGCAAAGGCTGGCGCACCTGGAGAATGAGCTGGACTTGGCCAAGGCGCGCCCCAATGAGGCACCCGTCGCGTCCAGCGACTGGGACAGGGTTGTCGACCACTCGATCCTGGTCGCGCGCTCGCCCGACCAGGTCCTGAAAGCGAAGGTGGTGGAAGCGCTGTAAGAGTGGCTTCAGGCCGCTAGATATACGATTCGGGCAGGAGGTCGAGATCATGGGCGATGACATTGGGAAGCAGTTCGCTATATCCTTCCTGGGCCCGCTCCCTGCGACGAGAGAATCGAGGGGGCGGCAGGCCCAGAGTGCGCTCGAGCTCCCCTGTGGCAGACGGCGCGGCTTCTCCGCTGAGGTCGGCTCGCGCTCATCACCGTTCTTCATCTCAGCTGACAGGAACCGACAAGATATCGCGACAGAGATGGCGTGCAAACGTCTACGCCGAGCACTGCTGCATAATGGCATGGGCATCGTCACGTTCATTGATCGGCGAGGGTGGCCAGCTTCTCTCGACATGGGAACCATTGGCGAATATTACGCCGAATGCATCGACGAGAATACTGGAGGTGGAGTGGAACCACACGGCGCTGGGTGATTTGGGGCTATCGCGTGGGGCTGTCGCTGACCTGGCACGAAAGACGTGGGCTGGGGCGCATTGTTGCTTTTTCACTTTAAGCCGCAGCTCGCCTCGAGGCGGACAGCTCTGCTGGGAAGGCCGGCGCAAATGGATTCGATCGTGGCGGTGCCGGAAATTCATGGTGATGGTGCGGCAGTGCTGGAACCCATTCAACGGATGAGAGTTGTCGTCGTCCTTTTCAATCGCATAGCGGGCGTCTTGGTGCTGATGGGCATCTTACGCTTGTCCCACGACGTGAGAGTCTTGATATTTCAGGCCCTGTTGTGTTGGCACCTGGACGGGTCATGTTTTGAAGAATTCGTTGCGCTCTCAGCGGTTGTGTCCTCTACCACTGGAACGTCCATAATCGCGGCTTGGACTGCGGGACCATAGGTGAAGTGCGTGATGCCATCCTACAGCAGCTCGAGGAGGTTAAGTCCGCCCCGATGCTCTGCTCGGTGATCTTATTTTGCGATTTCAATATATCAGGTCAATGGGCGAACGCGCGACTGCGTTCAACAGGTCGGCTACAGATGCTGGGAGGTGCTCAGGTGTGGCTCTTCGCCGAGCTGTCTCGGCTCGCGCGCGGGCCTCCTCTTCGCGTGCAGGCCGGGTCGGCGACGGGATCTGGATGGGCATCTTCTGCGAGATGACAGAGTTTGCCTTCGATCAGCCGACGCGCTGGCGCGAGGGCACCCAGCCGGCTGGCAAAACAGACCGTTGCTATACCAGTTCGCCTCCTTGGGTCTTGTGTCAAACGCGCCAGCGCTGCACGGTTGGAGGAGATGTGAAGGAGGTCGCTAAGCAGGGATTATCTGATCATGTGCCCATCTCGGTGACGTGGGGCCCTCGCTCGGTCTCGCCATCGGCTAGGGCTCGACCGCTGCCGAAATTGCTTCATGAGGATAGGGTGCGCGAGCAGGCGGTGAAGGAGCTTGAGGGGGTGGCGAGGGTAGAGGAGATGCTCCAGGACGGTCCGAGGGCATTGGAGGCCGATGCTAAGATTCGCCAATGTGCTGGCGCGGTCGTCGGAGGTGCGATTCTCAGGGCGCCGCCGTCGTCGTTGCACTCTCGCGCAATGGTTTCGAGATCTCTGGCTCGTGCTATCTCGAGAGGTGATGAGAGGCTGTTGTTGCGAGTTCTTCGATATCAGACCCTTGGGCGCAGAGTGTCACGTGCTTCGTTGACGGCGGGCCCCAGTTTTCAGACCCTGGCAAGTTTCGGGGCCCGCGCGCTCGCCTGCAGCGACCGGAAGCAATACGGCGAAAGCGTTCTCTTGAGGCCGGGGCAGATCGCGAGGGAGCGCCAGGTCGTCGGTCGCGTCTTGTGGCGATGGAGCGCTCGTTAGCCCGTCGGCCCCAGCTCTGGAACCCCATGTCTAGGCGGAAATTCCTCTTGGGGCTCGTTAAAGACGGCGGCGGTGGCGATGGAGAGAGAATCTTGGTGGGCGTCGGGAAGTTGGGGGAGCTGAGGATGCGCTGTCTGCTGGACTTGCGAAGTAGTGGGCTCCAGTCTTCTCGATGGTCTCTCAGGTTCCCCCTGGTGGTGGGTGGTCAATATCTGAAGTTCTCGAGTGGGCGCGACTTCGCGAGCATCCGTCCCCCCGTGACTGAGGATGCCGCATATTTTCTGAGGCGGGCATCGCGGGCGGCCCCGGGTCCCGATGGCCCGCGTTATTTTGCGCGAGGTGGGTGGGTGGGCGGTGGTGGTGGTGGTGGTGTGTGGTGGTGGTGGTGGTGGTGGTGGTGGTGGTGGGGGGGCGCTTTAGGCCCCGGGGTTCTCATGGCGGTTCCCAGATGGATTGCGGCAGGCCAGCTCATGCCGCCCACTTTCTCGGCGCTCTTGGCTGCATTTTTCCGAGCCTATCGCGGGCCCCCATGGCGAACCCGAGTCTGGCGGGGTTTCTCGCGCGGCCGTTGATGCGCGCCCCCATCGGGCTCAAAAAACACGCCCAAGAAAGTGATTTGTAGGGCCCCGATCGGCTGCAAGCAACCCGCGATTCAGCGGGCCGGGGCCAAGACCCAGAATGGATTCATAAAGCACAGCAGTTTTCTCAATGAGGTTGTGGACCTCGACGTCTTCGCTAAACTCGCGAGTATTGTATCACGTCATTCCCCAAATCGCGCCCCGTCTTTCATGGCCTTCGACTTTGCTCAGGCGTTCCAGTCGGTTAGCCAGACATGGTTATTCAAATGCCTACAGCGTCTTCGACTCCCTGGTCCCTAAGTTCTGGCTCTTTAGGTTCTGTACTTCTGGTCGCCATGCTACTTCGGAGGGTCGTCCCTTGCCCTTCTGTGCTTCGTGGATTCTGGAGTCCTGTTGTAGCAGCATGTTGTAGCAGCTATCGCGTTTTTTTTTTTTTTTTTTTTTTTTTTTTTTTTTTTTTTTTTTTTTTTTTTTTTTTTTTTTTTTTTTGTTTTTTTTCTCTTTCTCTTTTTCCGGATCTTGAGCAACGCCTCGGGAAAGCCGCGCCGCCCCCTTGGGGTTTCTCGTTCTTGTGCTGGCGACTTGGGGGCGGCCATCTTGAAGAACCAAGGGTGCCCTCGTCTCGCTCGTTCTTTTTTTGTTGTTTTCATTTTTTTGTTTTTTTGTTTTTGTTTTTTCCCCCGAAACGCCAGGCGTTTCGCCGATATTGTGCTCGTGCCCAGGAAATGTTTTGCGATGCCCCTCCGTGGACCAGTTTGCGAACCGTATGTTTCTGAGCTGACGGCCCAGCTGGTCGCGGCTGTTGCCGAGTGGAATGACCTCCAGATGGTCAGTGCCTGTTCTTATCTTGGCTTTCAGATCAATCCAGGGGCCGCGGTGAAACCGCAGCGGGCGGGGCCGTTGTCGAGGCGCACTGCCGGCGCACTTGAATGGGGTCGTCAAGGAGCACGCGCCCAAGTTGGAGCGCAACCACACGGTGACCGTGCACTGCCTGTCTTAGGGTATATCGCCCAACTGGTTCCTCTTGTTTGGGAAGAGTGCCAAAACCAGCGACATCATCTTGTGTGAGTTATGCGTTCCCCAAGTTCCATGCTGAGGATGGGGGGCTGCTTTGCGCTGGCAGAATGGGGTGGGCCCAAGTTTACCTTTATGTGCGTGATGGCAGCGGCTACTCGTATGCGGCCGCCGCAACTGCAACATGCACGACATGGCGCAAGCGATTGGAGTGACTTAGAGCCGTGGTGAGAAGCATGGGCAGTGCGGGGCTCTGGTGCTCGTCGGAGATGGCGCCTGGGTTCTGGAGCTGCGACCCTTTTGCTGTTTTCTTGGGGCAGGCTGTGCGTGGGTTCTCCCCCGGCGCACGTTTGCGAGCTGGGGGGGAGTTGGCGCGAGACGCCTGGACCGGACCGCTGGGTCGGGGCAGGATATGCCAGCTGCTCGGTTCTTCAACGTTGCCGACTCGCGTCGGTAAGCTCTCCATGGAGAGGAAGGTTGCACGGTGGGCATGATATCCAGCGCCATCCGGAGACAAAATGGCAGAGTGTTTTCCGCCAGATCCTGCTGCGTAGCGTCTTCCCTCCACTACTGGACCAGCTCCTTCGTCGTCGAGTGGCCAGGCTTTTGGGAGTTCATTTCCAGGATCTGGAAGCGCTTCGGGCTGTGGTATTGAGTGTCCCCATGAGTTGGGCGATCTCTGTTTTGAGAACGTACTTAGGTGGCTGGATCACGAAGCGTCGCATGCAGCGACAGGCCAGATGCATATACGGATGTCCTGGCAGCCTCGACGCGATATCCCAAAATGTAGTTAGTTGTGCACGGTGCCACTTCGCGCGTGTGCTGAGAAGTGCCATCCCAAGTGATACTGCTTGGAGGCTGGGGACTCGTGGAGGCAACGTGGCATTTCTGATGGCGATCTACCACCACCATCGACTGATGTCCAAAGCTTTCAAGGATCCTCCAGAATATGCTGGTGCCCTCAATCTGGTAGAGGGGGCGAGACTGGCGGTTCGGCTGCCGTTGAGAGGCGTGCAACGGCGTCAATTTTGCAGAGCTGAGCTGCAGAGAGTGGTGATTTTCTGCAGGCATGCCAGCAGCTTGTCCTCGTATACCTCTTCCTCGTCGTCTTCCAGCTCTGATGATGCCTCTGACGTTGACATGGAGAACGGTCGGCTGGAGGAGAGTGGCTCTTCTAATATGGATTCAGGCCAGCATGCCTCGGTTCCCACCCTCGTCGCCTCCCCCCGATGTATTGTGGGGAGACCGCATAGCGCTCCAGGCCCAGAGGCCCCCAGGATGCGCCCTGAGCTTTCGGAGGCCGCTGGGACGTTCGTGGGTTCTTGGAGGGGCTCGTGGGGTCCCGTGCTGACCCTGCAGGGCGGTCTGGTTTCTGAGGCGGTCAGCCCTATTGATTTTGTAGGCGCGGCTGAGTCTAGCCGTATGCCCGTCACAGGGACGAGAGGGGCGGCGACTTCAGCCTGGCGAGCGGTGTCTTCAACATCGCCGACCCCGCCTCCGCCACCTCCCAGGCTGGTGTCCGCAGGTTGTGCAGTGGCGAGGCCTGCAGTCGCTAGTGTTTATAGTCGTAGCAACTGCAACAGCAGCAGTAGGGGTAGCAGTGGGAGTGAATGTATTGATGCTCGAATTCGGCCTTCAGGTTTTCGTAGTCGCTCCCCTCGGTTTAAGTGTCGGGGTCGAGGGGTGGCTGGGCGGTAAGTGTTCGGCCGTCGGATGATCTCTTCTGGGTGCGGTCCGCCTCTTCCTCCTCCTCCTCCTCCTCCACCTTCTCCTCTCCCTCCTCTTCCTCTTCCCCCTCTTTCCCCTCCTCCCCTGCCTCCTCCCCTTCCTCCCCTGCCTCCTCCTCCTCCTCCTCCTCCTCCTCCTCCTCGTCTTCCTCCTCGTCTTCCTCCTCGTCTTCCCTCCTCCTCTCCTCTTCCTCCTCCTCCTCCTCCTCCTCCTCCTCCTCCTCCTCCTCCTCCTCCTCCTCCTCCCCCGCGCGATCGCCAGCGCCGCCGCAGAGTGTCTCCGGCTTCTGGCAGGGCGTTCCCGGCAGGGACCCCATTGCCCTGGAGGGATCGGGGTGCGGGCGCCCTCTCCTCCTCGGCAGGAGGGCGGGGAGAGACCAGCGGAGGGGCAGAAAACGGGGGCGCCCCCCGCCCGACGGGGACCGGCAGAGGGCTGGCGGAAGCTGCTGGGATGTCGTCTAGACGTACGGGTGACCTCTCGCCGGAGTGACTTTTGATTCTCAGAGCGTGAATTGCCTACCCCGCTCTCGCTTCCAGGACAAAACACGTCATACAACGCGCCTCCTCGTCAAGCGGCCTGACCATTACAGGCCGTAGTTTGGCATCGCTTGGTATCTCTTGGAAGCGAGGGTGGTCAAAAGCGAGGTAGGTTTGTTTTCCCCCTAGATGCGGGCCCACTGGCGCCCCCCGATCGCCGAACGCGAAGTGGTGGCAGCGGTTTGCGCGCCGAGGTATGGCCACCCGGCGTCCCCCGTTTAGCCGTGCACCAAAGGTCACTCTTGCCTAGGGTCAGTCTTGCGTGTAGCCGAGGGTAGCTCTGAGACGGGGGTCAATGCAAACGGGGGTCAGCCTGAGCGTCGGATCTTGCATGATTCTGCAGAACCAGGATTGCATTGACCCGTGTTTGCGCGCACGATCCTGCAGGATCTTGCAGGATCCTGAAAAGCCCGACTGTCCAGGGTTTGCACTGACCTGGGTCAGTGCGCCCCCGAAGCTGGCGTATTCAAGTCATGTTTTTGGGAGCTTTCGGGCCCCAGTGTGCTTTCCATCAGCTGCGCCTCGTCTAGGGGTGTCCGAGGGTTCTCGGATCGTCTCGAGATGCTGCCTGAGAGCCGAGCCGTGGCCCGAAAGCCACTGCTCCTCCCGGACCTCCAGTGCGGTGAAACAAGCCAACACGTTCTTTGTCCGCCAGTGTGGGCCCCTGGGTGCCTTGACCAGGCCCCGGGGCTGTCAAACGACGACTCGGGATGAAACGACGGCCCTCGGGGACGGGTCGGGATTTCCAGGGACTCCGCATTTCAGGAGGAAAAGAAACACACAGACACAATCAATCCTCGATTCCCCAGGAAATATGGGAAAATATGGGAAGTGGGGGGGACGACAGAAACCGAGAAAATATGGGGAAATATGGGGAACTTTGTTATTTGTGTGTATTTATTTGTGTGTCCTGGGGCCCCTTCACATACGTCGGATCTCTGGCTATCAATGCCCTCGCGGTCTGGACATCCAGGCGCGGTTTCGTGGATGCGTTTTGGCGCGGGGCGTCCGCGCCGCGCGCCGCCCTGCATCCATGGAGTCGCGGCCGGGGAGCCCGGGCCGCCATCCCGTGGATGTGTCTCCCGCTCGCGCAGGTCCTGCAGGAGGCAGTACCTGGTCGATCTCAAGGAGTTCAAGGAACAGGCCATCTCAACTTCCTCTTCCTCCCCTCCCCGTGTGCGTGTCACCGCTGCTGCTGCTGAGGGATCTCAGCCTGGGCGGGCCACTGCAGGCCGCGGAAGATGGCTTGTAGTGCCCGAAGGGGGGGTCTTGAGGCATAGTGCCCTCAAGCATCGCAAGAAGTTCAGGGGTTGATAGGGGTTGGCAGGAGGAAAAACAAAAAAAGAAGGAACAGGCCATCTCAAGCAGTGGCGAAGCGTCCTGGCTTGCCTATACGCCCA